GGACCTCGGGCTGAAGCTGCCTTCGGGCCAGCCCGAGTTGGTGGGTCCCACACCCCCCCGGGCCTGGGCTGCTCCGCTGGAACACAATTTTTTTTTTTTTTTCCCCCTAGCCTTGGGCTAGGCTCATGGGTGGAAAGGCAAGAGAAGTTTGAAAAAAAAAATTAAAAACATCCCATAAATAATTAAAATAAAATTGTTACGAGTTGCTAACTCCACGACACAGTGCTACTCCTCAAATGCTATATGATATTTCTCTTAACACAAACACAAGTACAAATGAAAAGGTACTGCCTACCAAACCTCTCTATTATAATAAACCTGCAATTGAACGTCAACGACAGTTTTCAGCACCAGCATGAAAGCCAAAGAAATAACATATGTAATCCCACAGTTCCCTGGGCACTGAACAATACAAATGTAAATGATACACGGTTAATTTTAGCTCTTACACATAGCATCTATTAACACTAACCAGAAGCTTCCCATTTTCATCAAGTAATCATCAAAACTCTCTAATGAGCATTATCCAAATAAAAAAGTTGGGGGATGTGCATGAGCAGTCCCCTCTTGGGGCAGAGTCTCTCCATTTTCAAAATTTCAACCTGTCGAAACACAGTAATAATAGTCCAACTGGCAGCACACACAGTGTAAAAGCACACAGTTTATCGGATAGGCCTCCGGCCTTAATTTCAACCCTATATGGGCGATAACAGAGCAATTCTAAGGAAGACTTCAGTTTATAACCGAAATGAAGTTCAACGGAAATTAAACAAATAGAAATGCCCTATAGAAGTTCAGGGCGTGAAAGTACAATTCTTGGCTCCGTTGCTGGGCTCAGATCAAGCTATTGCTTGGGGGCCCAAAACAGAAAATTGTAAGAGAATTAAACCAAATTTCCACATACTTGCCCCATTGTTTGTAAAACGATGCCAAAGCATGCAATTAAAACCATTTATATACAATCGCAAAAAATTCTAACCCGTCATAACCATACACACATTTTAACCACAACCATTCAGTAAAACTAAAATATAATCAAGCATTTAATCTCACCTCGACTGGGCTTCAAGCCCATCAACATATTCAAAGCCAAACTCAATCAAAGTAATAGTATAATTCGAAGCTGCACCTAAGTGAAACCTCAAGCTACCTACGTACCCGTTAGTGAGGGATCAAGCCACACGTAGTTCTTATACCAATAATCACGATTCAAATAACATACAATTATTTTCAGTAATACTAACAACTTAATTCTAAAATCATCTTTTCTCTTTTATTAAAATCACAATATCTCCACCCATGAACACAAACCCATTTTTCTTTACTTACTCCGTTCTTAAGACTCATAACCCAACAACCCTTTCCCTTTAACAATTCAAACATTAATCTTTTTCCCCGATATGGTATAATAATCATTTTCCCTCTTTCCGTTACTTTACTACATGCCGGAGAGTCCAGCACCACGAGTAGTAAAGTAACAATAACCAAAGTATCCGGATCCTCTACCACACGTTGGAAAAATTCAACGCCACGTGTGGTAAAATAACCAGTATCCAAGTGAGCACACACGCCGGAAAATCTAGCGCCACGTGTGGCCCAACAAAACCATGTTCTACATGCGCAAACTGCTTTATCACACACCGGAAAATCCAACGCTACATGTGATAAAATACTATCAACCAAGTGAGTCCACACGCTGAAAAATCCAACACCATGTATGATCAAGGATTAAAATATCGGCCGTGCAACGAGCCTCCAATTTACAGATATTTCAGGGGGATATATCGTTATCGTTTTAAGTATAGGGAAAAAATCAACAAAAGACAGATATATGAATTAAAACACATAATTTTGGTGTAAAACTTTCATAGATGTTATGTACATTATCAATGAATATATTGAACAAATAAAACTCAAAATTTACTAATAATAAGATATACATATGATGAAGTATAAGTGGTATGTAATGCTTGTTAATGAAAAGTTTGAAAATAAAATGTTGATTAGAATGAATAAATCGTGCATAAATCCATAGTTTGTTTAAACATTGGATTACAATTTAGATAAGTGTCCATCTACATAAATAAAGAGCTTCGATGAGGTTCAAACAATGAGGAACAACCATCTAGATTCATACAATAGTCATATCAAGTCATGTAACCCGAGCAGTTTGTAAGCCATGTTTGATCATGGTGCATATAGGTCTCTCTTGAGCTCCCTACTGTCCTCTCATATATAGGATAGTTAGGATTAACTCAACTAGTAGGTCCATAATATGTTTCATCATCTTGAGCTCCATAAATAATTCCACTATAATCAGACATGACATAACCATAGCCATCATAAAATTCATTTGAGTTAGTACTAGGTACAAGGTGAATGCGGGGAAGAGGGAGACAAGGGCGGCCAAATGAAGGAAAACTTCCAAGGAGGAGGCCACTTGACAAGGGCTGATGGGAGGTGTTGAGCATCAAGAGCGGCTGCAGAAGTTTGGGAAAAAGAAAAAAGAAATTTATATAAATATGAAATTAACAACCAGTGTTACAACTTTAACAATGAGCAAACAAATAAAGAAAGCCTTAGAGGAAGTAATGATTCAATACCCTTCTAGTGCCCCGTGCACCATAGAGAAGTAAACCCCGATGCCATTGAAAACCCAAAACCCATTTAATAAGATATCGGTTCCTGATTAGGACTATGGTGGAGGATACCAAGTGTTTGATGTTACATAGCATATCCATTGAACTGCTAATGGAGTCGCCCATCGTATTGCCTGCTTTGCTCTTCACATTGGAGCTTCTTTATCTTGATTTGAAGAACCTCCAGACTTTATTTCTGATGTATTGTTAAATGATTGTAACCAATAGTTTTTACGAGTACGATCCTTGGGGGCGAGGGGTACTCTATCATGGGTAAGGTTCCTTCTCATGCTTGTGGTTGAGAGGATAAGCTACTTAGTTAGACTGATGACCGATTATGTATAGAGCGGCTTGCCTAATCCCTGATGACATATACGAGTATTTGTAATTGGTTTTACTCTTCATTTTATTAGTAAAATATTATTACTACTTCTTAGAAAAATAAAAAATAAAGTTCGGGAGATGTTTGCTATTGTAAAACACTCATCTTTCACCGTAATAAATAAGAAAATAAAAAAGAAGAAATGTTTTATATCATCATATGATAAATTCACCAACCTTTCTCCCTTTTTATTATGGGAAATTTGCATAAATATCACCTAAACTTTTAGTCTTGTGCACAATTATCACCTAGACTTTTAATTTTTACTATTAACCACCTGAACTATGTAAAGTATTCCTATTTACCATCTACGTTTAACTCCACTAAAGGGCATGTTTATTAAAGGGGAACGGAATATAAGGAATGGGAGTGATTCCTATTCCAAGGTACTCCTATGCTTACTAACAATTAGGGATGTGCACGGTTTGGTTCTCACCTCAAATTGAAACCGGAACCGTATTATTTAACAGGTTCGATTCAAGCAATTGTTTTTAACCGTTTGGCCGATTCCTTTCGGTTTTGACCAATTTCGATTTTGAACCAGATTAGTATTTTATTACTTTTTTTTAATTTTTTTCAAGTTTTTTTTATTAAAGAAATAAAATTATAATAAATAAGTTATTTTTTGGGTTTGAAAATTAATAAATGATCCAATTCGTACATTGAGAAATTTTTTGAAGTTGGACTTGAAAAAATATTAATTATAAAATAAAAAATATAGCAGTGGATTTTAAAAATTTGTGAAAAAAATAAAATTAAAAAATACAACAGGTCTGGTTCGGTTTGGTGCGGTGTGAAACCAGAACCAAAATCGATTGGAATCGATTTGGTCCAGTTCTGGTCTAATTGGTTGACTTTTTTGGTCAACTAGTTTTTTTTTCTCAATTTTTTTCAGTCGGTCCGATTCGGTGTTTCGGTTTTCCGGTCCCGATGTCCACCCCTACTAACAATCCAGAAATCAAAAAAAGTGTGGACCCCACATAAAATCAATTATCACATTACTCATAGGGTAATGATTTCCCCACTCCAATTTTATCCATTTACACTCTTTTTTTAGTTATAAAATGGAGTGTAAGTGGATAAAATTGGAGTAGAGAAATCACCACTCTACTCATATTGGGGGAATCAGATTACTGAAGGGGGATGTGGGATTGGAGATGAGTGAAATGGAATTCAACATTTTCATGCCAAAACTACCCTCATATTTTTACTATTAACACAAAAATAGCCTTGTGTTTTGTGTGTGGTGTGCCTCCTCCAGTCCTTGCTGGGATTGGGTTCATGCTCTCTCTCTCTCTCTCTCTCTCTCTCTCTCTCTCTCATATCGTCATATTCTTCTTCTTCTTCCATTCATTTGAAAAATTATGTAACTAGTTGAACAAAATAAAAATGGTTTTGTACAAGGAAATTTTGGTAATCAAATTGGTTTTGACGATTCCTAACAATAGTAAACTGTTTTAATGGAAATCCAGTTTTATTTCATTCCGATTCCTGATAGTTAGTAAACAATTAATTATAATGCACGACTTTGATTCCCATTTAACATGATTCCTGCTTAACTTGATTTTTGGTTACTCCGATTTCTATTTATCCCGCTTCCTAATTAATAAACATGCCCTAAAGTTTTCGTTAAGTCAAATCACATGATGTATGCATGCGACATTTTTTTGAAAGGAACTTTCGTAAGTATGTAACTAACAAAACTAAAAAAAAATAATTAATTTATTAAAAGAAACAAACAAACCAACTTAATTATCCGACACCTTCCCCGCCCCATTTCAACACATTTCTCCTATACTTAACAGAATTTTTAAATATTTAATGGAGTTAGACGTAGGTGGTAAATTATAATATTTTGCATAATTTAAGTGGTTAATAGTAAAAATTAAAAATCTATGTGGTAATTGTGCACAAAACTAAAAGTTCAGGTGGTATTTATGCAAATTTCCGAATTATTATTTAAAAGTTTACAAAAACGAAGCAGAACGAAGGCACCTAATCACATTCACCGGTGAAGTAGTTGGAACCTCCGCCATCGTTTCGATGCATTCGAGAAAGACACTCAAATGACAAGTATGACATACCCACAAAACAACACTCCCCATTAATTTGAAACCAAAGACCCTGTGAGCTTCTCTTCCTCTCTCTCTCTCTCTCTCTCTCTCTCACTGACAGCCTATACCAATGGCTCGCCTTCTCAACACCTCCTTCCTCCCCAGCTCTCAAACCCTCCGCCGGAGCCCTAGTTCCTCTGCGCCGGCTCTAATTTCCGGGCGCCGGAGCAGGCTTCAAGTCCAGGCAAAGATTCGCGAGATCTTCATGCCGGCGCTGAGCTCTACCATGACTGAGGGCAAGATCGTGTCTTGGGTCAAGTCCGAGGGCGACAAGCTCTCCAAGCGAGTCCGATAAGGCCGACATGGACGTTGAGACTTTCTACGACGGTTACTTGGCCTCAATTATGGTCGAGGAAGGAGGCGTCGCCGCCGTCGGTTCAGCTATCGCGCTATTGGCTGAGACCGAAGAGGAGATCGCCGAGGCCAAGGCAAAGGCCAGTTCTTCATCAGCAGCACCAACAGCGGCTCCAGCTGCAGCAACTCCAGAGCCGCAACCGGAGAAAATTCCGGATAATGTAGGTCCCGCGGTGGTCCCTAAGGCGGCGGCTGTGGCGGCGGTGTCTTCGACTCACCCCGCATCCGAGGGAGGAAAGAGAATCGTGGCATCGCCGTATGCGAAGAAGCTGGCAAAGGAGTTGAAGTTGGATTTGGGGGCAGTGGTGGGAACTGGGCCATTGGGGAGGATTGTGGCTAAGGATGTGGAAGCTTTTGCTGCTCAGGTGACGGAGGTCGCTCCTGAACCAAGCGTTCGGAAGTCGGCGGCTGCTGAGGCGGGGATTGAGTTGGGGACGGTGGTGCCTTTTACAACAATGCAGGGGGCTGTAAGTAGGAACATGCTTGAGAGTCTCTCAGTGCCTACTTTCAGAGTGGGATACACTATCACCACTGATGCTCTGGATGCTCTGTACAAAAAGGTAACACTGGGTGAAATACAAACATTGCGCATTCTCAAATAAAGATGCGGATTTCTAATTGGGATTTTGGTAGTTTAAAATTCAAATTCAGTGTTCATTACATTTGCATACTGCTTCATAAAGATTTCATGCTTTGCACTGAAAGTACGGGGTAATTTGGGTTCCAACATTTTCCATGGTTTGCTTGATTAAACTTGAGCCTCTTCTTGATAATTTGACATTTCCATGAAAAAGATATTTCTTTTTCCACCATTTAAATGCAAACTATTGTAGTCCATAGTATGTGCTTGCTTCCTTACTAAGGTAGCATTTTTTTACGAGAATGTGGCTTACTGTTTGAGTGTTCTGAATCAGGATTGTAGATTGATAAGTTAATTCTACCATGTCATTCTGTTCTGATCGAGAATGTGGCTTACTGTTTGAGCACTCTGAATCAGGATTGTAGATTGATAAATTAATGCTACCATGTCATTCTGTTCTGACGAGTGGATGTTATAATTTACTTCTAGATCAAGTCAAAGGGAGTTACCATGACAGCATTGCTTGCGAAGGCGACAGCACTTGCGTTGGTTAAACATCCTGTCGTCAACTCTGGCTGTAGGGATGGTAAGAGCTTTACCTATAATAGCAGCATTAATATTGCAGTGGCAGTGGCAATCGATGGTGGGTTGATTACACCAGTGCTTCAGGATGCAGACAAGGTTTGTGCCTTTAAATGTCCCATCCTTTACAGTGTTGGTTTCTTTTGTTTTGGGAAGGTGGTTGGTGGTCCTGATGCTAGAAATATTTAATGGGTCAGGTTGACATATATTCATTGTCAAGAAAGTGGAAGGAGTTAGTTGATAAGGCCAGGGCTAAGCAGCTGCAACCTCATGAATACAATACAGGTACTACTATTACTTGCATAAATGATAAATAATATGTTGAGCAAATAACACATGAGATTCTTAGGTATTTTGCCCATTACATTGTCATGTTCTGTTTTAACAAAAACCGTGTTTTTCTGTTACTTGCAAAATGAAAGACCTTTGCATGTGAAAAGCTTTTAAAACTTTTATAATATGCTTCAAAATGCATGATAATTTCTATCAAATTTATTACGTGGGAAGACAGTTGTTTACTATCTCATTTGATGTAATTGATATGAAAGAAATTAATTTCACTTGGACAATAGAGAAATTTATATGCACTGATGTTCCATTTGATTTTATTTTTTTGGGTGTATTCTTACTGCATGATCCAAACAAGGATTAAGTTGCCCATAAGTTCTCATCCATTAAATCAACAGCACATCTGGAATTATATCCAGACTTAAGTCTAGAGGATGTCAATAATTTTCCCTTCCAGAACTTTTAATTATTTAGCTAAAGTATGATAAAGACTAACTAATGAGAACAAATTGAGCATTGTTCATGCAGTTATGTGTCTGTTTAACCCAAGCCACAATGCCCAGACATGGTCATTGCATGTTAGCAGTCTCATGTTCTCCTTAACTTGTATAATTAGGTTGGCACATAGGTTCCTCCAGTTCTCAAATTAATACCCACCGGTTTTGTAAGTGGGTTCAATCAAGGATTGAAATATCGGCCGATACACCGATATATCGGCCGATATATCGACATTTTGAACTGTCGACACCGATATTGGGGGGTAAGGTCATATCTTCCCCTATATCGACGATATATCCCCGCTAAGTGCGATATTCCCGATATTTTGCCGATATTTCCCGATATTTCCCGATACCCATAACAAAACCCAAAAAAATTAAAAAGCTTTGAAGCAAATTGAAACTGAAAATATTTTTTGGAGGTATATGCTTGGACCTAGGCAAGGTCAAAGACGTCCCTTGAGAGACGATGCTAGTGCTAGTAGAATGGAAAGTTCATCCAATTCGTCAGATAATAATGGAGGAAGTAATGATGGATCAGGAGGTAATGAAGAAGGAAGACAATACAACCCATTTACTGTTGAGGCTGATTTTACTCATACCACCCAAGATAAGGATCATGGATGCAAAGAAGCTGGACCAGACATTGACGCAATTGGGAAGCAATACTCAAAGAAAAGAAGCCAACCAATCAATTCATCTGAAGAGGACATGGCGATCAGTTTTGGATCTATGAGCATAGGAACTAGACCTAGTACTAACTCAAATGAATCTTATGATGGCTATGGTTATGCCATGTCTGATTATAATGGAACTAGATATGGAGCTCAAGATGAGGAAATAGATTATGGACCTACTAGTTGGGTTAATCCTAACTATCCCATATATGGGAGGACAGTAGGGAGCTCAAGAGAGACATATGTGCACCATGTTCAAACATGGCTTACAAACTACTCGGGTTACATGACTTGGTATGATTATTGTATGAATCTAGATGGTTGTTCCTCATTGTTTGAACCTCATAGGAGCTCTTCATTTATGTAGTTGGACACTCATCTAAATTGTAATCCAATGTTTAAATAAACTATGAATTTATGCATGGTTTATTCATTCTAATCAACTTTTTATTTTCAAACTTTTCATAACGCGCATTACATACCACTTATACTTCATCATATATATATATATATATATATCTTATTATTAGTAAATTTTGAGTTTTATTTGTTCAATACATTCATTGACAATGTACATAACATCTATGAAAGTTTTACACCAAAATTATGTGTTTCAATGCCTATATCTGTCATTTTTGTTGATTTCTTCCCGATACCTAAAACGATAACGATATATCCCCCGAAATATCCGTAAATTGGAGGCCCGATATTATCTGCACGGCCGATATTTTAATCCTTGGGTTCAATTTGATGCTCCAACTCAATCTTGGCTCTTTGAGGTCTCAACTTTTGTTCGACCCCAAGATTGACAAAGAAGCTTTGGCTGCGATAGTAGAATTCTCCCTCATTGTCTTTCTTTTTAATTCAGAGCATCAGTTCAGTGAGGATGCACATTAGAGCAACAGTGTCTAGTCTGACCCTTAAGTTTTAGTCTGCCTTATATTAGGCATGAAGAGAAATCCAGTATGCTGGAGTACCTGTGTCTGGTTTTGGGCAATTCAGGGCTTCTGCCATTCTTCTTCCTAATTTTACTTTTTAAGTTTTGGTGTATGAACCTTAGTTGATGGCTTCTGGGATATAATGATCATTCAATCATATCGATTTTGGATCCATCACTACTGAACTTGTGGCAATTATAAAAGTTTTTATGCTATGTAGTGAAGGCAGTTAGAAATTTTACAACATTACCTGTATGCCTACATGGTTACTTTTCTATTATGCACTTACAGGATCTTTTATACTTGTTTTATTGACGTTCAAACAAGTGGCCATACTTTCTATGTCTGATTCAGTAGAATAACTGTTTTCTGTTTTTGTAGGTACTTTCACTGTCTCTAATCTTGGGATGTTTGGTGTTGATCGGTTTGATGCTATTCTGCCACCTGGAACTGTAAGCGTCACTTTTTATGCTTTCCTCCTGCTTGATTATCTATTAGAGATTGAAGATGTATGTGTTCAATTGGTGGTTTTTAATATTTGAGGGTTTCTGGTTTCAATTTCCACAGGGAGCAATTATGGCTGTTGGAGCATCTCAGCCTACTGTTGTGGGTACTAAGGATGGTCGGATTGGTATGAAGAACCAAATGCAGGTAACATATTCAAAAGTTTTACTTAATTTGTACAATAAATTAAAGTTAACTAGAAAATTTAATTCTTGCAACATGCAATTATTTACAGGTAAATGTTACTGCTGATCATCGTATAATTTATGGTGCTGATCTTGCTTCATTCTTGCAAACGTTGGCAAAGATTATTGAGGACCCCAAAGATCTTACCTTCTAGTCACTGACATGTCCTGGCACATTGTCAGGGATGCCTCTTGTCTATCACATTGTCAGGGATTTTCCTCTATGTGATCCTGTCAGTCATATTTCTATGATTGTTAATCAGTTAGCTTTGGCGGGATACTTGGTCAATTTAATGAAGAATAGGAAAAGAATTTTGAATATAAATGCATATTGAGTTTTAGTTTTAGTTCGTCAAAGGTTGTCATGAATTCCGGCTGGCCGTTTATTGTATTAGTCTTTTTTGTTTTCGTTTCTTCTGTTGGCTATAGCACGAAAACCGGTTGTTGAGGGTTGTAACAGTATGTATGGGTCGATTGAATGAAATTTACAGCTTAAGCATTTAACATCAAATGTATTGCTAGTCAAATCCATTTGCAAAGCACACTCATGAAGTGATTAGTTATAATTTCCTATTTATTTTTAATAAAATTTGCTCTAAGAGCTCTGCTGGAAATTAGTTATTGCGTTTGAATATTGAACTTCTTACTAATTGCCTGACCAGCATAAAGCCAACCTCTCAAAGCATTCATGGAGGAAATGCTGTTCCGGCAGGAACTTGAGTTTTGGTCTTCTAGTTGAAGTGGGAAAGCATAAATTTATTTCAGTTCAGTAAATAATTTTTCTATATTTTACATACATTTTACTTCTATAGTTGCACATAAGCTTTTCACAACATCATGGCACTACTAATATTCTAGTAGTAGTAGGAACACACCAAAACTCGGGTTTCATCTTAGGCATGAAATTGCTGTTTAATACTGACTTTTCTCTCACGGCGCTTATCTTGCGTTCAGCAGCATCCTAAGAACAATCTTCATTCTCGGCCTTGCTTCTGGTGATACATTAACACAAGCAAGAGCGATTTTCAGGACCGCAAGCATCTGGCTTCGGACGGCAGTTGATGTCCTGCTGATACTGTAATCAAGAAGGTGATCCCATTTTTCTTGCTGCAATGAGTTATTTAAGACCCACTTGGCCAACTCAACCCCCTCACTAACTGCTGGTTTTCCGGTCAGCAATTCCAGCAGAATGACCCCAAAGCTATAGACGTTCCCGGCCATTGTTACCCGCATAGTGTATGCATACTCTGCCACCACAAAAAAAGAGAACATTTAGACACAATCACTGATTTTTATATCCACCAAATTACTGAAGTACAAGGCAATAAAGAACTTAAAACATATCTAAGGAGAAAACAAAGCCAGTAAACTGAGAAGTCAGGAATGACAAACAATTTTATGTTACTGCAAGGTGAAGTCAAAGAATTGCTGACCTGGAGGAATGTAGCCAACAGAACCAGCAATAGTAGAAAGGCTTCCAGTGCTCTTTGAGGGATCAATCACCTTACAGAGCTCAGCTTCTCCAATCAGAGGCTCCTTGAGGGACTTCAGCAAAATGCTTCGGCTTGACAGGTCGAGGAGCAGTATTGGATGTGGGGTGCACCCATGAAGAAACGCAAGACCTTGAGCTACTCCAACCGCAACACTGTATCTGCTTGCCCAGTCCATGTCATCACCTGAGCTACCGCGAAGAACATCACAAAGGGTTCCTTTTGAAGCAAATTCATAGAAGAGATACGCACTGTCAACAGTCAAAACATATGCCAAAGGAGTCATGACATTGGAATTGCTAAGTTTCCCAAAGACCTCTAAATCGTTTGCGAATCTATCATGGCTGCCCAATTGAAATATCTTGTCACTCCAGTTAAGCTTCTTGACAAAGTAGCTTGATCCAGACGGCATGATGGCTTTGTAGTAAGTTGAAAACCTAGTCTTCAGCACAATGTTTGACTGGTCAGAAACTGCTTCCATTGCTTTAGTGAAATCGATATTTGATCTGTGAATACCATTTGCAGTTAAGAGATTGCCTTGGAGGACCTCAGGAACAGAAGGATCTTCCGCTGATTGTGGTTGTTCATCGTTAACCCTGATTGTGGTTTGTCGTGATAGTGATATAGCAATGATGGTGATCCCTCCAACAGCAAAAACAGCTGCTACAACTGCAAGAACAATTGTCAGTGCAATTGGTTTTCCCTTCTTTTTCGATTCCGGTGGTGACGTGCTTGGTGTCGTAAAGTTAGTCAAACCCTCATTTCCACTTGCGTTGACGAGGACCAAAGAATTAAATTTTGGAATTTCTCCAGATAGCTGATTGTTGGAAAGTAACAACTGCGTCAAGGCTCCCAATTGCGTCAAAAATGCGGGTATCCCACCAGAGAATTTGTTATTTGAGAGATCCAGAATTTCTAATCCCGTGAGCCTGGAAAGAGTTATCGGAATCGGTCCTTTGAAAAGATTGCTGCTGAGATTCAAAGCAATCTGCAAAGTAATTGGCATGCTTGGAATGTCACCGCTCAAGTGATTTTGTCCAAGTTGGAGTTCCATCAGAGAAGTCATGGAGACAATATTTTCCGGTATCGAACCACTGAGATTGTTGCCTTGTAAATTCATGTTAACGAGATTCTTCAAGCTTGCAACCGAAGGTGGTATTGAACCATTCAGAGAATTCCAGCTGATATTTAGAATCGACAAATTCGACAATTGAGTAATTTGAATTGGGATTTCACCAGCCAACTTGTTAAATTGAAGTCTCAAGACTTGAAGATGGCCAAGGTTACCCAACTCCACTGGCAAAGCCCCAGACAGCTGATTCTGAGCCAAATTCAACAGTGCCAAACTCTGGCAAGAACCCAATTCAGGAGGAATCGTTCCATTCAAGCTATTGTTTTCCATCTCCAAGTATGTCAACTTTTGATTCATTGCAATTTTTGCAGAAGGGATCTTCCCATTGAGTGAATTGCTTCCCAATCTCAGTCTGACCAAGCTCTGAGATAGAGCTGTCGGTATCGATCCGTTTAACCTATTATTGGACAAATCCACAGTCTGCAGATTCAATGGAGACAAAAGGTCCGATGGAATCGACCCACTTAAGGTATTATAGCTTAGGTCCAAATTTCTCAGATATTCTGTAATTCCCGCAGGAATTGAACCATTGAATTTGTTAGAATTTGCAGCAAAACGGGTAAGGCTTGTGATTTTGGAAAGGCTTTGTGGGATTTCACCAGATAAATCATTGGACGACAGAATCAAAACCTCCAACTTGGAGAGCTCTCCAATTGCACCAGGAACGGACCCAGAAATTTTATTTGCACTAAAATCAATCAGAGTCAAATTGCGGTAGCCCACAATATCAACAGGGATTATGCCATGAAACTTATTCATAGAAAGCTGAAGCTCCTTCAAGACCTTGGATTTTCCAAGACGGGTAGGAACAGAGCCAGTGAAATTGTTCAAGCTAAGGTTCAAACTTCTGAGCCCAACTAACCCATCTAACTCTAAATCAATGGCTCCACTCAACCTATTATGAGACAAGTCTAAGAACTCCAACCCAGCAAAACCAACAAATAGAGGCAAAGAACCCTCCAAATTGTTATAGCTAAAATTGAGTAGCTTTAGCTCATGAAGTTTTCCACAATCTGAGAGAAACTTAGATGGGATTTTGCTCAGACGATTGCCTGAAACATCAAGATTCTGCAAGGACTCAATCTGGCAAACAAGGGGCAGAAAATCTGAGGAAGATGGAAAAACCCCAGATAAGGAAATTTTGATAACAGATGAATAGGAAGGGGAATTGCAGCTAACTCCTTTCCACAAACATGGGTTTGGCTCTTTGTTGATATCCCATGAAATACTAGTGACATTTAGACTCTTGGAGAGATTGATCATAGTGGTTTTTTGGTTTGAGGATAGTTGAGAAAACACCATAGGGCAGAAAAACAAGGAGAAGAAGAAATAAAAATAGGAGAGAAGCGAGGTGGTGCTGCCATACCTGGTCATTTCAGCTGTGTGCCAAAGTAAAGACTCTTTGTCACTTCAATTTTCTATTACCAAAGAAGGCACGTGAGGTAGATTTTGTATATAATTTATGTGATTTCAGGGGGAGGAGGAGACAGAAGAAAGAAGGTAGCCAGAGAGCATAGAATGAGAGTAGATGGCTTAAAATATAGAGGGATTTAAGGTAAAAGAGAATGACACAGAGATGTTTGTGTTAGTTTTGTGTGGTTTTGGGGAAATGGAAATTTGCGGGAATGGGATGGGGAAGAAAATGTTGGGAGTGGAGTTGACTTGACTGCTGGGTCTCAACAAAGACTAAGACTTCGAGACTCAGACTAAAAAATGAGTGGCCAGTGTGGAGCCCATGCTTGACTACTGAGCTTGTTCAAAAACGCGTAAAATGGAAAAGAACAAAAAAGAGAAAAAAGAACGAAGACTAGAAAATTGCGAACCAACAGAGACAGGGGAGGGAGTTTATCTTTTTAATTTTTAATTTTTTGTGCCGTTTCCACTCAAAATCGTTTGTTTGTGGAAATTTTTTTAGTTTCATGAGACAAGACAAGTGCCCCCTTGAATGATCTGATCATGCCGTGAATGATCCGTTGGTCTTTGCTTGACCGGGTTTGTTTGTGTGCACAAGAAAAAGACTGACCTCCATCTGCCGTTGTTTCCACGTTCAACGATACTAGGCGCCAACGAGTTTCCTTGCTGATTGTATTGGTTGTTGTTTTTTCCACAAGTTGTCCAATGTCACGCACACGTGTCGGTTAGGACAGTGTGCTCGTAGTCGTACTCTTATATTCAAGTTTGAATTCTCTTCTTCATACATTAAATTAGTTTAGAGTAGTTTAGATTGTATTAAAGAAGAAACATTGTCTAATGTCCACATTGTGATTCTAACAAAATTCTCGGTCCTCAAATCAAACCTCAACTTTTTTACGTGAAAGAGAAAATGAACCTTTTTTAAGGGTTTGATGTAAAAACTAGTGCGTCTTGGGTTATTGGTGCGGTAAGCAACCATAGAAATTGCAAGATATAATATCACTTGAGCCTGTCTAGTTGCAAGGGACCTTTTTTCCTTCACCAACAACTGAGTGCGCAATTCACTAGTGTAATATTATTTCTAATCTGTGAAGTCAATCATTTGACTAAGAATCATAATGGGAGATAATTCGTTTATAATTTTTTTCATTTATATAAATGAATTAAATGGCTAGACAGTGTTGTGGTTATATAATTTATTATTAAGTTTCATGGGCAGAAGTGAAGAATAACACTAATATATGATCAATTTGACCATAAAAAAAACACTAATATATGATCCCAGAGAATGTGAAGACCTTCCTAAAACTTTAATAGTCAAAAGGGATATTGTCCCCAACTTAATTACTTACAAAGTCCAGTAGGTGCGATGTGTATTTTATTAGTCAAGGTTTCAATGTGAGACTTTATATTTCTCAACAAGCCCCTGCTCGTGGGACCACCATATAGTAGGCCACACATATGGAGTCAAGTCCACATCGGAGTCAATTATTCAAGACCAATACGAAAACACCATGTATTAGGTAAGGGTAAACATTCAAGCCCAAATAATCTAAGCACAGTCAATCAACCTGGCTATGATATCATATTAAATTTCAAAGAGACGGGCTGGCGGCCCACTACTAGCAATACCGATATTGTCCCCAACTTAACCAGCTATAAAGATCAATAGTTGTGGGGCTTTATCACAAAAGGTCTTAGTGATATTAATAGTGGAACTACTCAATATATAGTGTATTTTATTTAGTTAGGTTTCCGATGTGGGACTTTATATTCTTCAACAATATCGACTGAACATTCATAATTCCCTTATATGCACAAACAGACATGAAGACTAGCATTGTTCAATCGGGACAATTACGAGTCTTGAAATCATTTTTGAAAACACTAAGACAAGTGCACCCGAAGAAGATATGCTGACATAGTTTTTTTTTTGTGAGTGCATAAATGTATGATAGACGTGTCAAATAAGAGATTCTATGTTACAACGATACAGTTAAACCTTAGACCCAAGATATTATGTGTGCTTTATGTGTTTGTTATAGTAGCCTATGAATGCAATAAACTCTCTTAGCATGGAGTGAATTTTTTGATTATTTGGTGTGATGAGTGACGTATGGAGGCACATGAGTGATCAATGGAGAATCAATTTATGTATATGAAAATGTAGTAAATGGCCCTTAGTGTGTTCGCTACAACTGTTGTTTTGGGAAAAAGTTCATCTTCTTCAAATGAAAAATTGATTTTCAAACAAGAAAAATCTTGCATGATGTTCTAAATCACACATGTTGTTTATCTAAGATCTTCTTAGGCTTAGCTATATATTTTATCTCAATTGATATCATCAATCTCTAGTCTATAGCTTGATGAAGTTTATGTGAGCTTAAATATGCATTTCTATTGAAATAGTAGTCAAACAAAGTAGGGCAAATATTCAACTATGTATTCTTCCCTAATAAGGAGGTATTTATGAGGAAGTACAACCTTGAATAAAATAGAAAATAATTATAAATTACAATAGAAAATACATCTAAATTACAATAAGAAATAAATCTCAATTACAATAGGACTAGACAAATAATAAATTACCAAAAATCCTATAATAGTAAATGTGACACCCCCAACCCAATTTTAATCGTTTATTTAATTGTGAAATTACAATTTTGCCCTTGAGGAAAGGCCACGTTAGTCACTTTTTGATTTTGTAAGGATTTTTTAGAATTGAGTGGCACCCTTGTGTAGAGCACGTCGATACGAGTTTGTAAACATGTAGTGGGCTCAAATTAGAGTTTTAGCGAGGAAGTTACAGACAAATGGAAGTGCAATGGCACAACTGTAAATTTTTCAAAGTTAGAATTTTGAAAACCCAGCTCTTCTCTCTCTCTCTCTCTTGCGTCTCTCTCTGATTGTATTGGTTTTTTTTTTTCCACAAGTTGTCCAATGTCACACACACGTGTCGGTTAGGACAGTGTGCTCGTAGTCGTACTCTTATATTCAAGTTTGAATTCTCTTCTTCATACATTAAATTAGTTTAGAGTAGTTTAGATTGTATTAAAGAAGAAACATTGTCTAATGTCCACATTGTGATTCTAACAAAATTCTCGGTCCTCAAATCAAACCTCAACTTTTTTACGTGAAAGAGAAAATGAACCTTTTTTAAGGGTTTGATGTAAAAACTAGTGCGTCTTGGGTTATTGGTGCGGTAAGCAACCATAGAAATTGCAAGATATAATATCACTTGAGCCTATCTAGTTGCAAGGGACCTTTTTTCCTTCACCAACAACTGAATGCGCAATTCACTAGTGTAATATTATTTCTAATCTGTGAAGTCAATCATTTGACTAAGAATCATAATGGGAGATAATTCGTTTATAATTTTTTTCATTTATATAAATGAATTAAATGGCTAGACACTGTTGTGGTTATATAATTTATTATTAAGTTTCATGGGCAGAAGTGAAGAATAACACTAATATATGATCAATATGACCATAAAAAAAAAAACACCAATATATGATCCCAGAGAATGTGAAGACGTTCCTAAAACTTTCATAGTCAAAAGGGACATTGTTAAATTTCCGAGAGACGGATCGGCAACTCATTACTAGCAACACTGATATTGTCCCCAACTTAATCACTTACAAAGTCCAGTAGGTGCGAGGTGTATTTTATTAGTCAAGGTTTCAATGTGAGACTTTATATTTTTCAACAAGTTCCTGCTCGTGGGACCACCATATAGCAGGCCACACATAGAGTCAAGTCCACATTGGAGTCAATTATTCAAGACCAATACGAAAACACCATGTATTGGGTAAGGATAAACATTCAAGCCCAAATAATCTAAGCACAATCAATCAACTTAGCTATGATACCATGTTAAATTTCAAAGAGACGGGCCGGTGGCCCACTGCTAGCAACACCGATATTGTCCCCAATGTAACCACCTAGAAAGATCAATAGTTGTGGGGCTTTATCACAAAAGGTCTCGGTGATATTAGTAGTGGAATTACTCAATATATAGTGTATTTAGTTAGGTTTCCAATGTGGGACTTTATATTCTTCAACAATATCGACTGAACATTCATAATTCCATTATATGCACAAACATGCATGAAAACTAGCATTGTTCAATCGGGACAATTACGAGTCTTGAGATCATTTTTGAAAACACTAAGACAAGTGCACAAGTGCTCAAAATGCAGGAGTTCACCGAAGAAGATATGCTGACATAGTTTTTTTTTTTTTGGCATAAATCTATGATATACGTGTCAAATAAGAGATTCTATGTTACAACAATACAGTTAAACCTTAGACCCGAGATATTATGTATGCCTTATGTGTTTGTTATAGTAGCCTATGAATGCAATAAACTCTCTTAGCATGGAGTGAATATTTTGATTATTTGGTGTGATGAGTGACGTATGGAGGCACATGAGTGATCAATGGAGAATCAATTTATGTATATGAAAATGTAGTAAATGGCCCTTAGTGTGTTCGCTACAACTGTTGTTTTGGGAAAAAGTTCATCTTCTTCAAATGAAAAATTGATTTTTAAACAAGAAAAATCTTGCATGATGGTCTAAATCACACATGTTGTTTATCTAAGATCTTCTTAGGCTTAGCTATATATTTTATCTCAATTGATATCATCAACCTCTAGTCTATAGCTTGATGAAGTTGATGTGAGCTTAAATATGCATTTCTATGGAATTAGTAGTCAAACAAAGCAGGGCAAATATTCAACTATGTATTCTTCCCTAATATGGAGGTATTTATGAGGAAGTACAACCCTAAATAAAATAGGAAATAAATATAAATTACAATAGAAAATACATCTAAATTACAATAAGAAATAAATCTCAATTACAATAGGACTAGACAAATAATAATTACCAAAAATCCAAACATAGTAAATGTGACACCCGACCCAATTTTAACCGTTTATTTAATTTGTTTAATTGTGAAATTACAATTTTGCCCTTGAGGCAAGGCCCGTTAGTCACTTTTTGATTTTGTATGGATTTTTGAGAATTGAGTGACACCATTGCATAGAGCTCGTCGATACGAATTTGTAGACATGTAGTGGGCTCAAATTGGAGTTTTAACGAAGAAGTTACGGACAAACGAAAGTGCAGTGGCACAACTGTAAATTTTTCAAAGTCAGAATTTTGAAAACCCAGTTTAATGTCTCTCTCTCTCTCTCTCTCTCTCT